AGCAACAGAAACTATACAAAATGAAAGCCCAAGAGAAAAAAAGACCCAAAAAGAAACAAAAAGGATGCCAGTGAGCTACACCAGAGCTTCAAGCACCTAACATACGTGTATTTGGAAAGAGAACAAAGAGAGGGCACAAAAGAAAAAATATTTGAAGAAGTAATGGTAAATAATTTTCTGAACTTGATGAAAACCATAAACCTACAGATCCCAAACGCTCACAAACTCCATTTCCTTTAGCTGAAGAGAGACCCCGGGCTTTCAAATGGAAAGGGCCATCTGAGTGTCCAGGTAGCCCGCCAGGACATGAGCCCAACTGAAAATAGAAAGCAAGCCTTGATTCATTTACTGCTCCCCGGGGCCAAGCAAGAGAGGCATGGGCTCCTCAGGGTTCCCTTTTCCCCTCCACGGAACTGCTCAGGGAAATCCAGTGGGTGAAGCAGTTGGGGAGAACTGTCTCACTGATGGGGATCCCTGAACAAAGTCTCCTGAAGAAAAGCGGGGTGGGGCGAGGGAGAAGGACTAGGAGTGCAAAGTCAGGGAATCAAGGTAGAGAAAAGGGTGTCAGCCTGGAGGTGTGGGGAATGCAGAGATGCTTCTGAGCAGGGCTGGCCTGGGGCCGCCTGAGGTTTTGTCTACAACTCCCACTAGAAAACCGTCCTGAGAGCTGGCCCCCGGGAGCTCCTCAGAGGCTCCTCACCCCCTCCCCTGTCCTTGGAATATGGGTTCTGCTTGCTTTTCCTGCTCCCAGAGGCTGCTCCAAGGACACGCCTTGAGATAGTGATACAGTGTTGAGAACACCTGCGTAGTGTATGCGGCTGAACCAGTTAGGGCCTCTTACCCACTTTTAAGATTTGGTGTTAGGGCGGGCGCAGGGATCCATTCGTGCTGCTTCCGCCTGAGACAAGCCTCATGTATAAATTCCCTTTGCTTATTAAAACGGCCACCTACCAGTCAAGGGTGGTCTGCCTCTTTCTTGGATCTCTCCCTGCCTTCCGTGTAGTGGGAGCCAGTTTCAGATTAGACCCTGAAAGCTCCGGGGAGGGTCATGAACCAACAGCTGTGCACCCCCAAGACACCTGCCAAGCAAAGCTTTGGAATTGCTCGTAGTTGGGACTGAAAGATCACACATAGGATTTTGGCCTGGAACTGGACTCCTCATACGGAAAGCGAAATAATTGGGGACTCTTTCCGGCACATTGGTTGATGTAAAATCTGGATATCAGAAGCCAGATCTAGGCCAAAGACAATTTGGGGAGCCATCAGCATAAATGACAGCTAATGAACTCATACAGGGGAGGAGACCACGAGGGGATAGCACTTAAAGTGAGAAGAAAGGTGACAAAGTGACAGTGAGTGACACCAATAGACATTGGGGAGGAGCAGTGGAGTGGGTTTGTAATGGAGGTTGAGAAGAATGGCCAGAGAGGTAGAAGGAAAAGGAAATGACAGAAATCATGAGACCCCCAAGAAGAAGAGAATGGGGGTAGGCAGTGCCTGGGTGGCTTGGTTGGTTAAGTGGCTGACACTTGGTTACACCTCAGGTGGTGATCTCCCGGTCTTGGGATCTAGCCCATGTCTAGCTCTGCCCTCAGCATGGGGTCAGCTTCATATTCTCATTCCCTCAGCCTCTCCTTCCAGGCCATGCTCTTGAGCTCTCTCCCTTCTCTCAAATAAATAAATAAAATCTTTTTTTAAAGGGGGGGCAGGGAATGAAATTTTAAAAATTTTAATAAGGATAGCAATGAACTATAACCAACTGAATACAGTAAGAATCTATGAGTACATAGGAATAATATGGAAAGAAGAGAAAGCTCTTTCATACGGTATGTCAACCAATACTTGTATTTGGAGAAGCAGGGATGGAAAATTACCATTTCACAACCACCAAAGTAGACTGTTTCAGGCAGGGATCATTAATGGATGCTAATTCTAGATGGAAAAGTTTGATAAAGAGCAGGGTAATTTACAAGACCTCGGGGTATCTCTCCACAGATTAGCTGCAAGGGGAAAAATAGTACTATACAGTGGAGAAATTGGATAACACCTTGACCATCTGATCAAAATTAGCATTATCATGAGGGTCTAAGGAACATAGGGTGCCTACAGGTGGGATATCGGAGAACACATAATTTATGCAGTATTCCAGCCAGGAATATGTAATCTGAATCTAATCATGACAAGCATCAGACAAGTCCAAATTAAGTAGCATTCCATAAAATAATTGGCCTGTATTTAACAACAACAACAAAAAAGGCAGTTTTGTGAAAGACCAAGGGTAGGTAGCAGCTCCAGATCAAAGAAAGCCAAAGAAGTTCAGGGAAACTGTATATATATATATGGACAGAAATATTTCATTTGTGGCAAAATATTAACAATTTGGTGAATCTGAGCAAAGGGTATGGAGGAGTTATCCTATTATTTTTGCAACTTTTTGGTAAACTTGAAAGTATTTCAAAATAAAAAGTTAAAAAGACCATGTTTTATGGAAAAACTCTAAGTGTAACCTCTGATGAATTATTTTGATGTGAATAAAGGGAGTGGAGGGCAGGTTCTGGGTTAAGATTACAAAGGCAGCACCACAGGGGAAATTAATTCATGTTTTATGCATAGACAAACCATTACAGCAAGTAAGTTGAAACTTTTACTTACAATGTATTTTATTAAGATGGGGAAAGACCATGAAAATCTTCTGTGCCATACAAATGCTATCAACTTAAAGATGAATTACAGTATTTACTTTTTAACAAGATATTTACTGATCTTCTCTTTAGCAACTGGGTAACACTAGCATGTTATGTGGCAACACTGAAAAAATGAACCATAAAATCCTTTAAAACTGCTTTTATTATGAGCAAATGAAAATTAAAAAAATATATAGACATACACTATATATAACTCTTGCATTTTAAAATACATTTGGATTATTTCCATATGGATTTAATTTTGTTGCCAAAAATACCGTGTGCATCTGTAAAAAAACAAACTAGTTTCCCATGGCAGG